TGGCCGTCCGCATCACCGCTTCCTTGTGAGGGATCGTAGGAGCGGGAGAGCAACACAGGTGAGGGGAGAAGGAACTTAAAACAATAACTAATTGTTCATATCGAACCGAAGGGTGGAACACAAAGGGTGGCGCGCAGGGGAGAGTTTGTTACTAGTTCGGCACCTCCGCCAGATGTACGAGGGAAGGAACCTTGAACATAAATAGTATCAGGTTTCCATTTACCTGAATCCAGTTACTTTTATATACACCTGATAACTTACAATTTCGAAACACGGTGATACTGTACATAGACCTTTAAAAAAAAAGAAACCCGAAGATATATCCCTCCCTTAAGCACTTTTGATACTTTGGTCGGTTAATTGTCGAATACCCAAGACTAACTAATCTCTCCCAGGCGAGGGGATATTTTTGGTCGCTTAATTACGGAATACCCATAAACAGATTTTTGACACGGCCTCGCCTTGCGCTCTTAACTGCTACAGAATGACTGTCAGGGTGAATAATGCTGACAAAGTAGAGCCATTTAAGTGTGCGGACTTAAAAGATTTTAAAGTTAATCGTCCGTGTAAATTTCACCTTTCTTTCTGGATGTAGTGTTAAGGGCCAAGAAGGAGAGGTCGTTTAGTGCAGCCGCGGCAAATTGATCTACTGAAACTGTTCTCTTTGTCTAAAGGATTGTATTCCGGTGTAAATGAGGAGTGATTAGATATAGGTTTTTACGACGGCGGTACAGGAATTGGGGATGGAAATTAAGTAGGATTAGAGGGAAGCGAGAGAAAAGGGACAGAGGGAGAGAGAGAAAAGGGACAGAGAAAGAGAGAGAAAAGGGGCAGAGGGAGAGAGAGAAAAGGGGCAGAGGGAGAGAGAGAAAAGGGGCAGAGGGAGAGAGAGAAAAGGGGCAGAGGGGGAGAGAGAGAGAGGGAGGGAGGGAGGGAGGGAGAGAGAGAGAGAGAGAGGGAGGGAGAGAGAGAGGGAGGGAGGAAGAGAGGGAGGGAGGGAGGAAGAGAGGGAGGGGATGAAAGGGAGAGAGAGAGAGGGGGGAGAACAGGAGAGAGAGAAAAGGGGGAGGAAAGTAGAGAGAGAGAGAGAGAGAGAGAGAGAGAGAGAGAGAGAGAGAGAGAGAGAGAGGGAGGGAGGGAGGGAGGGAGGGAGGGAGAGAGAGAGAGAGAGAGAGAGAGAGAGAGAGAGAGAGAGAGGGAGAGGGAGAGGAGAGAGAAAGAGAGAGAGAGAGAGGGCGAAGGAGGGAGAGAGAGAGAGGGGGAGGGAGGGAGGGAAGGAGAGAGGGGGAGGGAGGGAGGGAAGGAGAGAGGGGGAGGGAGGGAAGGAGAGAGGGGGAGGGAGGGAGATAGGGAGGGAGGGAGGGACAGAGGGGGAGGGAGGGAGAGAGGGGGAGGGAGGAAGGGAGGGAGGGAGGGAGAGAGGGGGGAGGGAGGAAGGGAGGGAGGGAGGGAGGGAGAGAGGGGGAGGGAGGGAGGGAGGGAGGGAGGGAGGAGAGAGAGGGGAGGGAGGGAGGGAGAGAGGGGGAGGGAGGGAGGGAGAGAGGGGGAGGGAGGGAGGGAGAGAGGGGGAGGGAGGGAGAGAGAGGGAGGAGAGGAGAGAGAGAGAGAGAGAGAGAGAGAGAGAGAGAGAGAGAGAGAGAGAGAGAGAGAGAGAGAGAGAGAGAGAGAGAGAGAGAGAGAGAGAGAGAGAGAGAGAGAGAGAGAGAGAAACACGAAGAAGGAGAGAGGGGAAGAGACTCAAGCATCTATTCTGGCGTCCGATTGACCCAAGTGGGCCGCTGAGCGAAGGACCTGACCGCCAAGGGGGTGTTATATCTGTCTCGCTCCCCCTCTCCTCTCCCTCCCCCCCCCTACCAATAGGCCTAAGAGAAACCTGGTTGGAAACATGTCACGACCTTATGCTAACAAGAAGTGGAAGCGACACAGCGAGCGGAGAAGAGGCAACAAGGGATAATGAACAGAAAGAAAGGAAGAAAGTAAATATCGACTGTCTCAATGGAAATGCAACGTATGATTCAAGAGGAAATAGGGGGAAATAATCACGAATAAAATAATTTAACAAATGAAAAAAAATAAATAAATAAATAAATAAATAAAAAACAAGAGAAGGCTAATGCACAATATCAGATCACCTCAAATAACATAAATAACACCTTAACCGCCGCGATTACCTCAACCACAGCTTCCTGCACCTAGCACTTCGCCATAAAACACTTTATACATTTATTAGGAAAAGAAGATCCCTCAAAATTTACACCTCAAAAAAGGTAAAGGAAAAACCAAGCTGCAAAGAGCGTAAAAATGGTCAGAACGACGGCAGCTGAGCATGGTTCAAAGACCACCTCGCAACAATAAGAATTTTTGGGTCAAGGAGGAAAACTTTTCGACAAGAATTAAAAATCAAGATCCTTTGGAGCTGAAACAATACCGATGTCCACTGCCTAAAACAAAAGTTACGGAACCAAAGAAAGTACAGATCATATATATATATATATATATATATATATATATATATATATATATATATATATATATATATATATATATATATACACACACACACACACACATATAAATAATATGTTCGCGTGTGTGTGTGTTATTTGTTCAAGGAGGAACATCCATACATATGCTGGAAAAAATGTTATCATATAAAAAACTTGGGAAACGAGAACGCAAGAAAGTAAAGGCAGGCCGCCCCCAAACAAAACCTCGTCTCGCTCTTCGTCTCGTCTGCAGTTGTAGAAAAGAGAGAGAGAAAAAAGGAAAACATATCCGAGGCCGGAGGAGCATCGAGGCAGTGACCAGGAAGCTGAACCGCAGCCGGACTGAAGATGAACCGATCGAGCGAAGACGAACCTATGGTTTTTGACGTCCCCCCTATCAATAGTTCGGTTGGCGCCTTGCCCGCCCCGCCGCCCCCGCCAAAACGGGCAGCCGCGCGTGGAGGTGAATTTATGGCTATTTTAGGATATGGAGGGAAATGATGGCGCGACAACTGGACAAGTAAATGCCTTCATCATAGATCCTTAAAATCCATAAACGAAGAAAAAGATGAAGTGAGAAAACACAAACGCAATTCGAGCGAATGTGATGGCGGAGCAGCCAGTGAATGAATCGGTCATTTTTTTTTTCTTTCTTTTCTATTCCCCAGAAGAAATGGAATGATTTTTGGAGGAACGGAAGCCACAAAGGAAGGGAGACAGGGAGGAGGTTTAGACTGCAGGACCCGAGTGTCGTGAGCCTTACATAACTTTCAAAACTTTTGTGCTCACCATGTTAGCTTCGTAGGCTGTTGCACAAGACGCTAGAGACACAGTTCTGACTTGTGTTAAATACAATGCAACTCTTATTCCAAGCAGTATTTCTCATTATTGCTTTAACGAATCTCAGTAATGCCTCGCTAAACTTCAGTAACTATATGCAGACACTCAAGCAAAATGTAATCCATCGTATACCAAGTACATATTTCACATATTAATATTCCGCATAATAAACGCAATTCATAGGTAAAAAATACCATATACTGCACAATCATCGGGTTAGGAAGATAAAGCAATAAAGAAACTACTCAGATATTCGCAGTCGGGAAAACTTCCTCGTTCCTCCCACACGAACTCGGCGCATCATAATACAGTCTGTCGACAAGAGGGAGGGAGGGAGGGAGGGGAATAGGAGGGAGGGAGGGAGGGAGGAGAATGGGAAGGAGGAAGAGAGAGGAAGGGGAAGGAGGGGAGGAGAAGAATGGGAGGGAGGAAGAGAGAGGAAGGGGAAGGAGGGGAGGAGAAGAATGGGAGGGAGGGGAATGGGAAGGAGGAAGAGAGAGGAAAGGGAAGGAGGGAGGGAAGGAGGAGGAAAGAGAGGATAAGAGGATGAGTGGAAGGGAAGGAGAGAGAGAGAGAGAGAGAGAGAGAGAGAGAGAGAGAGAGAGAGAGAGAGAGAGAGAGAGAGAGAGAGAGAGAGAGAGAGAAAGGAGCGAGGAAGGGAAGGAGAGAGAGAGAGATGGAGACAAGGAGAGAGTGGGTGGGGCACGGAAAGAGAGAGTGAGAGACGGAGGCTGGTACATTATTACACAACTACTCTTGTTAATCCAAACTTGAGAAAACTTTTCCTGTTCATCATTTCGCCCAAGATTATTTTTGTTTGTAATCAAGCTTTTCCCACTAGCAGAGCAAGAATACATTAACGCCAGAAGCAGGGAAAGGAACAGAAGAGAAAGGAAACCAAGAATAAACGAGAAAATAAAGAGAACAAAACGACCTGAATATCAAAAAGATGTCCACGCAAAGCTTCCTAAACATGTAAAACCACTCGCGCATTTATTAGTTCTGTATTAATCTATTTATTCTTTTCCCCCGGAGGGTTGACCCGAGAAGCTTATATTTCTCTCTAAGACTCCGAGGCGCTCTACTTCATTTTCTTCTTCGAAGTTGAGATTAGTTTAGGAAGATTCCTCAACGGCGCTAACTTCCCAGTAGCAGATCGGCCGCCCCTTTTTTTCTCTCCCGGAATTTTGACTTTAGGATCACGTTGCTTTCACTGCGCATGCAATAAATTTCACCCCCCTCTCTCCCTCTCCCTCTCTCTCTCTCTCTCTCTCTCTCTCTCTCTCTCTCTCTCTCTCTCTCTCTCTCTCAATTTACTTAGTAAATGAACTTTAAGAGACTACAAGTAGCTATCTACACGAGTCCACCTCGTTCAGATTCCGGGAGGGAAAATATCTACTATATATCAGAGTGTTATAAAAATATACGAATAAAAACACTTTACCATAGGCCTACGCGACAAATCTTCACACCCTAACCCACGCCAACTTTTTTTTTATATTTACTTCCCCCTTCAGATTCTCCCGCCATAAGTTCTCTAAGAAGTAAAACGAAAAAAAAAAGTAATTTACGATGCCATTCATCTTACCGTCTCGATCTCCTCCCCGCCCTCGCCCATTCATCACGTACACAGAGAAGACCACAGACCTAATAGGGTACTCACGGTCAGCCACGGTCACACTCCCCACCTTATTTCTCTCTCGGCTTCATGGACTGAACGTATGTGGACATATTCCCGCCACAGAGGAGCTAAATAACAAACCGCAGATAGGTTTATATACCCTATAGCCACTTAATGTCAACAGAATTCCATAGCAATTCTCTGCGGCGAGTAATCTAATCTACCCCCCCCCCCCCGAAGCAATTATCAACATCCCCCCAAATCCCCCCTCACAAAAAATACTATGATTCCCCCTATTAATTTTCATAATCCCCAAACAGCCACCACTTGAGTGACTTTCCGCTAATTACGTAATATATCGACGACCAATGAACTAAAAACGAATACTGGCCCGAAACGCATTTGACCGGAAAAATAATTGAGATTGTATGCATGCAGAGAGAGAGAGAGAGAGGGAGAGTGGGAGAGGGGGGGGGGGGAGGGGGGAGGGGGGGAGGGAGAGAGGGGGGAGAGAGAGAGAGAGAGAAAGAGAGAGAGAAAGAGAGAGAGAGAGAGAGAGAGAGAGAGAGAGAGAGAGAGAGAGAGAGAGAGAGAGAGAGAGAGAGAGAGAGAGAGAGAGAGAGAGGGAGAGAGGGAGAGAGGGAGAGAGAGAGAGAGAGAGAGAGAGAGAGAGAGAGAGAGAGAGAGAGAGAGAGATTTAAAATACATCAAAAGCGATTTTGATTCCAATACCTATCCCATATTGCGGAATGGCTGATAATGGTTGAACTCCCCAAATTAGTCTAGAGTGTATACGAAATTGATATTGCGTCATATGTTCTAAATATATCCAAGCAATTTTCCCAGTGCAGGCCTGTCCCTCCCACGCCGCTGAGAACTCACAGCAACCGTAGGCGTGGCCTCATAGCCCCTAGGAAGTCCTCCGGCCCCATATTGCATAAGCAGATAATCAATATTTCCAGTACGATGTTCCGCCGGACGAGTTCCTTCAAGCCATTATGCTGCAGCGCTTTACATCAGCCGAAAGTATCTTGTTAGTCAGCGAGTTTAAGTTATGGATATTGCATACGGGCTTGTACGTCGATATGCACCCATATATATGCACATGAAACTTTTAACCATCCATAGTGGAGCCCATACCACCGGGCCAATCACGCGCTCACTACCCTGTAAACCACCAATTACCTTACGCGGGGAGTCCTAAAGAGGAAGATACAACGAGCTATGTCCTGAGTGCACGTCCTAAAATTAGTGTTACAACCCTCTGTAAACCCCACAGGATCAGTAACTATACTAAGTATATATTTTGCGTAAATGGCAAAACAAGTTAATACTGGTTTCAATACCTGCGTGAAGCGATTCTTAATCAGTTGACAATGTACTCAATACCTTCAAAAGAATAAATGATTTTCGCATGGATGTTTTTTACGTTCTACACTGCTTATTAGTGCGACGAATATTCAAGGATTAAAATTACATCTCACGAACATGTAATAAAAGCTCTCCCTTTCAACAGCCCTCATGAGACTTCGTTCTGATAAGTTCCCCTTCATTAGAATCTTATTTAACCCGGAACAGTAAGGAAGAAAAAAAAATTAAGTCCCCGACAATTGACAATATATTACTAAACGAAACCAATTCGATTTTAATATCTATATTCTAGAAACAGTAAATCTTATATATATCCGCACGCACCCATATAAATAAAAGAATGAAAGAGCATAAAATCAAACCAATGGATCGTAAATTGACACATGACGTTGCCCCCATTGTTATAACGTGATCTACGCCCTTCTACGATTGCTGACGGGTAAAAGGATAGCGGGGGGAAAAGTTCAGCTTTAGAGACTGCGAACATTAATGAAGGATCGTTAACTTTTCTCTCCAGCTAGGAGTTTTGCTCTCATTGTTGGGATTGTTGTGCAGGTATATATAAGAATGGAGGCCTATTTTTTTCTCCTCTTTCATCTTTCCGTTCGCAAAGAAACTTTAATGAATTCACGCACGACGACGTTCGATTTCCTTCATTATGTGGAATATTTATCTCCGTTGTAAAATATTTGCATGCAGTTTCACAATATATCGTTGCCAGCAATGACTTTTGCTTTTCAACAAATACAATTTTACAATCTAAAAATTAACTATACTGACAGTGCACGACAAACATTAATGAATTAGTTACTTAAACTTTTTATTATCTTTCAGGAAATGCAGCGCCATCGCTATGCAAAATCACCAACCACAGAAGACATCACCGGGGCAAAGCTTTCTTCTGAACTTAAGAGAAGAATGATAAAGGCCTCCCCCACCCCCCCACAACCAGTATCCCCTCCCCCTTCCCGGACAGAATCTCTCCAATCGCATTTGCATCCTCAAGCAATGGGAAATTTCTTGCTCAGCAAAGATATTCCACGCGCCCGAGGAGTCTTTTCCTCTTTCATACCTTTCTCCATCATAGCGTGAATATTTTAGGAATTGCGGGACTGCTCCTGCTGGCCTGTTCCCATGAATGTTAAGAGAATAAACTGATATTTTTATGAAGCATAAATTGACAAATTGTATTTATCAGAAGCATTTAAAGTTACGTAGTAATTTCACTTCAAATTCTGATGAAAGTTACAGAACGGTTTCAAAGTCAGTTTTACCCTTTTACTTGCAATAAAAAGATGATGCATTAATACAGAAAATCTAATAAAAAATAGTCCTTGACAAGATAACTTTTCTTTGTTTTGACTTGTTAAAGGGAAGTTTGTTTTAAACTTTATAATCTCTATAACTCTTGATCTAGTTTCGACATTAATAAATATGACCAAACTGAAGATTTATTTTTTTTATTCAACTATCTTCTCCGTGAAAGAAGGAAATCTGACCACACAAGATATAAATCACACCGCCATATACAGTAAAAAGATACCTAAAAAGATCAACAAATCAAGAACATATTTATAACACCCAAGCAACTATCTCAACGAACGTTATTATGTATAGTTATAAACAACAATAGAAGTTACAGACAACAAAGACTTAAGGTTCATACAGTGACTCAAGGATAATTCGGTTAGCTACTACACATGATAAACCAAGCGAGACAAGTAAAACACCCTCCCCCTGCAATGCCACAACGGTTTTGAAGTATTAGGTTCCTATAATATAGATGAATTTTCTAAAGTATTCCAAGTGATCATTCTTGACATTCTTCATGAGCTTATCAGAATGCAATGCTGATGCGATTTTCATATTAATGATGGTATAACAAACAGGATATTGCATAATAAGGATCATTTCATGCATATTTTTTCCAGGTAGATGTCTTTCAGATTTTGTTCCCTTGCCACATCAATTTCACAATCACCATATTCTTCGACATAATCAATAGAGCTGCTAAAAAAGAGCAAATAACAACTTATCATTGTTGTCCCAACACTTTTTTGTGGATATATAGAATTTCATTCCTGTTTAATGCACAATCTATATGTGCTCACACTCAGTTTTCATAAATCATAAAAAACATTTCACTTCATATCAGTTCCACAATATCAGTACAATGCAAGCCTTCCTACTTTGGTCAGGCTGTTTGTTTTGTTTCAAGCACTTCAGTCCAACAAGCAATCATCTAAGAAGGGCACGTGCAGACTGCAGAATCATGGACTCAAGAGGGGATCAAGAAGGAAGAATCTCACTACTACAGAAGTATTGGAAACATGCACTGTGATGCATTCTATGCTGGGTATGATTATGGTCGGGGAAGACAGACCTGAATTTCATCCTTTAGTCAGGATTTTAAAAATAAAGCATACTATTCAAACTTTATAACATAACATTTTCTTTTCTTTCCCTTCTCTCTGAGTGCTTTTATAATTTACTTTGTTTTCAATTATTACAATTTTAAATTTTACAACAATTCTTCTTATTCTGCTAAATAACTGCAGTGAGATGATCTTTAATTACAGTCAATTTCATGTTCCAAATTGAATTATCCATATCAATTTTTCAAACATTCTCTACAGTTATTTGGATTCAAATGTCATAAACAACTGCGTCAAACAGACTCGAAATACATTAAGACAATACCCTATCACTGCTGATAACTGGTTCAGGAAATATAAGTGATGGAAGATAAAATATTTTACAAATTTATTATTCAACAGTATAATCAGTCAAGCAACAGATTTCGTACAGAGCAAAATATTAAGCTTCCAGATAATGTCAAGACTAAGAAGTTATAAATCCAGCATTTCTTAAGAATCAAATCTTAGGGGGAAAAATCATATTCCTCACATGACTCAAGAAAACCCTTTCACAGACACAGTCAAGAAAAGACATTACATTGACATCACCAACAAGGTCAATCAATTTTACCTTATAACAGACATGGAGATTCACACAAGTTAACCCTTCATTCACACAAGACAAGACTCAATGGTGGAAGGTAACAGAATTACTAAGATTGGGATAAACTTACCTTCTTCAAATCATGCACAATACAGTATCAAAATATTCTTTATATAATCAATAGAGATTCTTTCATAAACAGGCTACTTACAATATATGGGGAAACACATTTTGATTATAAATACAATATGGTCATAACCAATTTGTAATATTATGTCTTATGGTAATTAAATTAGTTATTATCATAATAAGAATGAGAAACAATTCATACTTCATTTTCAAATAAAAGGTATGATAATGTAAACATTCCATGTTAACCATTCCTTTTTGTGATGGATATCAACAATCAACCAGCATGTAAATAAGCTTTCATTTCATAACAACAACAGTAAAGTTAACCTTATCTGCATCAGCATACTTTGATTGTTAATAACCTCACATGCAGTTGGTTAGAGAAGGCAGGATACTAGAAAAAGCAAATTAACTAAAAATTATTGGCTATACTGGGGCAACAGCATCCCCCAGTCAATAAAAAAGAAATTACAATACCATGCTTGGTTCACCAGTCAATGGTCCTCAAAGTGCAATATATACAAGTGCAACCAAATAAGGTCTTCATGTAATTTGATCCCTAGTGATGGGGTTTCATTAGACTTCACTTTCCTGGAAGCTGCACATGACATGTGCTACCACTAAAGCTCATTCCAATTCATACATAACATTTTGGAATATGGTTTTAAAAGAAAATTAGTTACAATTCAATCATAGCACCTGGCTAAAAACTGCTGATACATAAAAATATCAGAACAGTAGTTTTGTATTAAAGACTACATAAAACATTCACTTGCAATTATGCATATACATTTATTTCTCTGGATTATCTCTTTAATGTTGAATAACTAAAATGTACATAAATAATTGGTCAACTGCACTGCAGTCTCGTCAATATTTTCATTTAAAAATGAAACATGGGAATTTTATTTTTCCAAAAATTCCTTTTCTTTTTCTTTTTCTTTCTTTCTTGATAAGATTACTTAAAATTGCCTATTTACTTCAAATACTTACTATCATGCCTAACATTTTGTTCTCAGACTTCTATAAATCCCTTGAAGATTAGGAATTTAAAAGATGCAGCTTATAGTTTAAAGCATTTGAAAAATAATCCCACTTCTCTAGTCAACTTCATAATTGTGGGAAGTCATTATCTAAATTGCGTAAATGCTCAGCTGCTCATAGCATGCATAAGGTATTGTGTACTACATATCTTGTATGCAGTTTCAAAAGATGTTCTTTGAAGTTACAACCATCAACAGATCTTTTTAATGTTTATAAAATCCATACAAAAAGTGAGGAGACTAAATGAAGTGACACAGTTACTGACGTCCACTTTCTTGTAAACCCATATTCTTAATGATTCTAAATCATAGAAAATCTAAAAACTGATATTAACTAAGAGTTTACTATCAAAGAACAATCTATATTACATGTGTTTTAAGAAAAAAAAAAAGTTATTTGATATCCATGTCTAACATGATAACTTACTGATGAAAGAATGCTAATTTTCAGTCTTAATATTTGTTTTATATCTTTTAAAAGGTGTATATATATATATATGTAACAATCAATATTCTTTTTAAAATTTCTTACTTACTAAGCTTTAAAACATAAACCTTTCTAAATTCTAAATTTGTTCCCATGGTGATCATCGTCTTGTTAAAATCTTTTGAAATAATTTAAAACAATTTAAATGAAAATATTAGACCACTTCTTCCACTCCTCATTAGAAAATCTATCAAGATACCATGTTAACATTCTCCGGAAAAAAAATTATAGTAAGCAAACTGCATGTTGGCAGCAACAAAACACTATCAGATAAGGACTAACAGAAACAACAACACAGTAGTAATCAGGCTTAAAAGCTCTCCGATTTAACCAGTGCAGAACCTCCAGGAGACACCCCCAGCATCCCAGGGCTTTCAAACCCTGTCTGATAACTCTCGCCATCATTACCCTGAGAAGGATCAGTGGCACTACTCACCTGACCAGTCGATTCCAGAACGCTGATTGGTTTGGCTACAGCAATTGAAACAGGGCCTTTTGGTGCTCCCTTCAGGGCTGCTACTGCTTGATCAAGAGTTGCGTTTTCTAGGTTGGTTCCATTGACAGCAATGAGACGGTCACCGGGTATCAAACGGCCATCTTTCTCTGCCACACCCCCGGGAACAAGTGAGCGAATCACTATCACTGTTTCTTGCGGGTTTAGTGGATCCTGAAAGAGAAAGGGATCCATACAATTATACCTTGTGAAAAGAAACAATATCAAATGGATAAAATAATCTATTTCTATCTTCACCTATCGATTCTCAACTTACTGTTCATGAAGCCTATTGAATGCTATTTTACTGAATTACGTATAAGACCTCTCTTTTGTCTTTGTCTTTTTTTTTAATCAGATGTCTTTGCCATTAGCCAAAAGACTATTTCATTGGATACTCAACAAATAACACTAAACCAAGGACTTAAAAGAAATAGGCCTACCTGATAATCCAAAATAGAGAAGCCCAATCCCCTATCGCCCTTCATCAACTCGATGATCTGAGCCTCAGAGCTCCACATGGCCAGGCCAGTTAGCGGTTCAAGGCTGCGGCTCTTCATGCGGTTGAAGGAAGTATCGTTTGTGGCTGCAGTGGCTGAGGATGCCAAGGATCCATCAGACTTGGCCTTGACGAGGCGTTCCGATCCAGGGATAAGATTTTGGAGAGAACCACCAAGGATATTCTGTAAGAAAAGGACGTAACTATAAGCTTCACACTCAAAGTTTCCAAACCATTATATATGGTCAATATAACAATGAAACGGAAAATATGGACTACTGATATACTACCTCTACTATTACATACATATTGTATTTTTACATTTTCTATATATTAACAAACTAATAAACCAAAGAACCACTGAACTAGAGTACCCATTCATATATCAAGAACAGTGACAACCAAAGCAATATGTAATGATGAATTATTTATAATGAAAAAGAATCACTACAATATGTAAGAGACAGCAGTGACTTACTCTAACTAAACTATAAAAGGGGAGCCAAGCAATCAAAACTGAATTTTGATACACTCTTTAGGAACAAACTGAAGTAATGTTGCCCAATTTAGTTTTTTATAATATATATCCTTTTAACAAAACAATAGGTATGACCAACATAGAAAATATGAAAATACAATTTTAAAAGCATCAAATAAAAGGAATAAGATACCAAATGCTGATAGTTTCTTCATGTTTCCATATATGATGTATGATCAAAGATGAAATGAAACATATCTACAATCACTGCACCCTTACTAAGTTTGAATGGAAAATGTCTATGTATCCCAAGCCAACAAATAAGTGCAGAAACCTTGGAGACAATAAGATTTAAAAGAAGATGCAGCAAAAGATAATATCTAAACCAATCAACTCCACTAGCTAGCCAGAGAAATTCCAGAATGGAACTTAATAAACAGCTTATAAATAACACAGTTTATGACCCTTTCACTTCTTGGTCAACCCTGCAGTACTCCAAGATGTTCCTTTTTCTCTCAGCAGTAATGAAAAATATTCTAATTTCTTAGCATCTATGTTCTCTTTAGACCTGGATGTATTTACAGTAATCATGATGCTTTGGACAAAATGACATTATTATCCATACTCGGAAGAAACCATACATGAAATAGTAATCTGTTATTCAAAATCCTAGTTTCAATACTTGGTGGGTATTGTTATACAAAACCTGGTGCTTTCTTGTTTAGAAACAAACAAAAATTGACAAAGAACATTTCTCAATCAAAATGGTATGTTTGAATTATGTCTTATGGCTTACAACGGGTAAACTCATAAGATAATGAATTGTACACCATAGAAGAAATAAAATAAAACAAATGAATTGGATTTCCTGGTATAAGCTCCATGTAAACAAATAAATCTTATTCTTATCTTTACTTTGTTTAAAGAGAAAGTTAACCCACTGATGCTGGGAACATGTAACATCCACTGTAGCTTTGTGTTGTGAATGGTGATTACACACACACGGCTCCACAAGTGCTCAGCCATCAAGGAGCCAATTAAAAGGTTCATTCTAGATATTCATTAATCCTGGTAAAAAATAACAACCTGAATCATAATCTGTAACTGTATACATACAAAGGATAAGTTTTGGGATGCCAATTATGGTAAAGCACTAAAAAACAAAAATATGAAATCTAAAATGACTACATCAACTCCTTTCTAATTACAAGTAGTCTACCATTCCCAACTTTACTATTGCTGTTTGCTTTTCTCGTTAAAATGTGTTGTTACCTCTGGTGAAGTTTTTTCATTTTCAAATGCAATTAACCCGAGGTCACATCACTACAGTCAACATATATTTAAAAAATCGTTATAGCTTTTAAACTAACTTTTAAAACTGTCATTAATTTGTGTGCGTGTGTGTGTTTTGATGGCAAAACATAAAACTGCTGAAAAAATTCTGATTTAGATGTATAACCCAGTATATACAACCAAATATATCTAAAAAAAAATCTTAAATATATTCTTACTCAGTATGTCAGAGTACTTGTGGCCTGAATAATCTGTACTGTAAGCCATAATCAAAATGCATGCCACTGGCAGGCAACAGTTACCATTACTGTAACTGTTGCAAAAGTGCCATCATTGAATACAATCAAATATCAAAGATTAAAAAAAGTTTCAAATCAATGGCAATCTACAGTATAACAGTAGACGCAATTTAACAAAAGACATCCTAATCATCATCTATGTTGTAAGAATTATGTACATGACACGCATTTGTTCAAAACATGATTCAGTATGGTACAACTATTTTACAAATACAAAACAAAAAGAGGAAAAATATATATATCTAAAAAGTACTCATATATTTTTTGGCCCCACTCCACCCACCGTTTCACAAATGCATCAATCATGTTCAGGAAGGGAGAGAAAGAAAGCAAATTAAGTAGTGCTTTAAGAAAAATAAATAAATAAACAAAAAATCATTCATTTCTGTTACATGTTCAAAGAAGAAGTGATTGTAACTAAAGTATTACACTAATGAGTGTATTACCACTTTTTGGTCCAAACACGAGAACAGGAAAATTCATAATGCATCGGTATCATACTGTTAGAGTCAAGGGTACAGGGTCCAAAGAAATCCAGGTTAGAAAAATAATAGAGAAAAGGCAAGAGAGACGACAAAATTTTACTTGGGATCATATTTTCTGGAAAATCTTTTTGCACAGGCATATATCAAGACAAATAGGCAATGTTACTCCTTTCTTCATTAAAGTATGCCACTATACAAGTCATTGAATTTTCTCTAAACACACAATTACCTAATCTTTGAAGGTAAGTAACAGAAGACTAGTTCCCTCTTCACTTTGTTTCCTGTATTCAAAATTTTCTATGGCAATAAGAATATCATACAAAGTAATAATCAAAGTTCTGAGTTATAAACAGAAACAGAGTATCAAAAATGTTTCTTAATGATCTCTGTACAAATAAAGTTTTTTTTTAATACATTCTAAAATTTTATCTTCATATCAACTACAAAAGTCCTTTCTGTAGAAAAGTTGTAATGAGCTAACACATCTAATCATGAATTCCATACCACCAAGGAAATATTTTCTAATCTCCTAAATAGCTACAGCTGCTTTACAATCTACTTTTTCCATTCTCTGGATTATGCCCGTAATTGCAGCACTTAAGTTCAATATTATTTACATAAGAATTAAATAACTGAAAAGTGATTGATAAGAAATATAAAGATGTTGCACAAGAGAAAAAATAACATTCTTATATGAATATAATAAACAGATGAGCAAACAAACTGGACAATATCTTTAAATGTTCATATATAAGTATCAACTTTCCAGTGAAAACTTAGGCCAGTAAAGTAAATTCTATCCAAACATACCATGGTCATAAAAAATCAGTAAAAACCCAAGACGGGATTGTTAATATATACTGTCAAGAATACATTTTCCCCTGTCCTTGACCACACTGCAAAGTCTCATCACCTCACCACATAAAACAAGTTTTCTGAAGAGGTCATGCTTACCCTTGCAGCAAACGTGTCCCGATCAGCTGTAGGAGCATCAATAGGGTGAAGTGGAGGTGGTGCACCTGGGGCTCGTCGACCACAAACCAGGCGCACAGATCCTGGGAGTTCTTTCAGTATTCCAACAACTTCAACATGATTTAGGCCAAGCAACTTCTGTCCATTAACCTGTCAAAAAAAATGAATGTGTGTGAAATGTAATTTAGTAGCATGCTGGGTAATGGTAAGCAATATAGACTATCATATAATGTCATTATCAAACCAATATTCAGAATGCAACTTTATATGAAAATCAGTACTATCATCTTATTAGTTAACTCTTGGCATAATTCTAAAAAAATAGCAACTTGGGGATAAATCTCTACCACTAGAAAAGAAACTGCAGTAAATGAAAAAAAAACTATGCAAATTTGCCAGCATCCTCTGCTTTACAAATTCTTTCCAGAGGAATATGAAAGTTTGCTCTAAGGATTAAGCAAAGTTAATCTTGAGAGATGTTGTATTGTCAGATCTCTCTGTTTGGTAAAGACAGCTAATACTCATCACTCAGACAAAAATGACCTAGCCCTTTTTAATCAATGCATGGGACTGAAACTTGTTTAGATCTGACAAAAGCCACCCTATTTGAAGCAAATAAGTGTTCATTTTCTTATTTTCTGGGCAATACAAAAAGGTCCTTCTGTATCGAAATCTTGAAAATCCAATAATAACCACCATATTCCATATCAATTAAAAGCTAAACACAGCAGCTGATATCAACCATGTGTAAAATACCTCTAAGAGCTCGTCCCCACTGCACAGGCGCCCATTCTTTCCAACTGGGCCATCAGGCAAGATGGAGCGGATGTAGTGGTGTGGACGAACCTCCCTTCCTCCTTCTACGTCCACTGTTCCCTCGAGGCTAATGCCCAGGCCACCCCCTTCTTCAAACTTGCTTAATTGGGCAACCTTAAAGCAGGATAGAAAAAAGGGGGTTATCAAAACATACATTTGTGGATACAGCATGTGCAGCGAAGTGCTGAAGGAAAAGATAAAAGGAAAGAGAGTATAGGAGAGGAAAGATGAGGATGAGGAATATAAATAGAAAGAAGGAGGAGGAGGAGGAGGACACAGAAAGAGAGTAAGAGATACAGAAAGAGAGAGAGAGAGAGAGAGAGAGAGAGAGAGAGAGAGAGAGAGAGAGAGAGAGAGAGAGAGAGAGAGAGAGAGAGAGAGAGAGAGAGAGAGAGAGAGAGAGAGAGAGAGAGAGAGAGAGAGAGAGAGAGAGAGAGAGAGAGAGAGAGAGAGAGAGAGAGAGAGAGAGAGAGAGAGAGAGAGGGGGGGGGGGGGGGGAGAGGGAGAGGGAGAGGGTTATCAAAACATACATATGTGGATACAGCATGTGCAGCGAAGTGCAGAAGGAAAAGATAAAAGGAAAGAGAGTATAGGAGAGGAAAGATGAGGATGAGGAATATAAATAGAAAGAAGGAGGAGGAGGAGGAGAAGGAGGAGGAGGAGGAGACAGAAAGAGAGAGATACAGAAAGAGAGTAAGAGATACAGAAAGAGAGAGAGAGAGAGAGAGAGAGAGAGAGAGAGAGAGAGAGAGAGAGAGAGAGAGAGAGAGAGAGAGAGAGAGAGAGAGAGAGAGAGAGAGAGAGAGAGAGAGGGAGAGGAGAGAGAGAGAGGAGAGAGAGAGAGGAGAGAGAGAGAGAGAGAGAGGAGAGGAGAGAGAGAGAGGAGAGAGGAGAGGGAGAGAGAAGAAGAGGGAGAGAGAAAGAGACAGAGGGAGAAAGAGACAGAGGGAGAAAGAGAGAGAGGGAGAAAGAGAGAGAGGGAGGAGGGAGGGAGGGAGAGAGAGAGAGAGAGAGAGAGAGAGAGAGAGAGAGAGAGAGAGAGAGAGAGAGAGAGAGAGAGAGAGAGAGAGAGAGAGAGAGAGAGAGAGAGAGAGAGGAGAGGAGAGGAGAGGAGAGGAGAGGAGAGGAGAATAGAGGAGAGGAGGAGGAGGAGGAGGAGGAGGAGGAGGAGGAGGAGGAGGAGGAGGAGGAGGAGGAGGAGGGGGAGGGGGAGGAGGAGGGGAAGGAGGAGGGGAAGGAGGAGGGGAAGAAGGAGGGGAAGGAGGAGGGGAAGGAGGAGGAGGAGGAGGAGGAGGAGGAGGAGGAGGAGGAGGAGGAGGAGGAGGAGGAGGAGGAAGAAGAATTGGAGGACAAGAAGATTAGCACAAAAAAGAAAGATATGACCAGAAATAAGAAATGAGGGGAAAAGTAAATGTAAACACATACAATGATGCATTAAAGGAAGTGCTAAATCTTGGAATGAGTGACAGAACTAATTTTAAGATAATGCATTGTTCTAATATTCATTGTGCATTTAAACCACGCCACTCTAAACTTCATTTTTCATTAATCTGATTATATTACTCCAGTGCGCCTATCAAAAGTTTCCACTGACATTCGAACAGTATCCATTTTTGATGAGTTCCCTAGTGATCATAGTTTTAAAATGATCATGAAAGGAATTTGATATCATCTAATTCATGGCACGATTCTGTTCAAAGTGTGATGCTTTTGGATAAACTGCAAATGGATATCAGTAATTATATTGCACATCGATTAAAACAACAACAAAAAATATTTTTAAAAAATAATAACACTATCTTTTTCTGCAACTGTTATTGATTCATTCTTAATGGAATTGTTGATACTTACGACTATCTCGAATTCAGGTCCAACGATCCTTGACCATTTCCGCTTGATGGCATTCTCCACGGAGGGTCGCAGCTCTCCCGAGTAATTGCTGTCGATCATCAACTCAATGTCTTCGAGTCGGATGTCTGTACTGGTACCGGAGGACAACGGAGGGACGCCAGAGGACAGTTGAGGCACATTGGTGGTGGTCGCATAGGAGGAATTCATCCCGGAGGATAAAACTGGGGGCTGCAGCGGCTGGTTAGAGATGGTGGAGAAGGTAGGCACGTCGGCGATGATTGTTGACGAGGAGGTAGGTGCAGAGAGTGCTGGGTTGATGGCCTCCACCATGACTGGGTCTTCCACGTTCATTTCGAGGTCCCCGAGAGCTGTTCGAATGGCCTCGCTGCTGGGGAGTTCGCCCATCTGTTGAGAGGGAGGAGGCAATACAGTGCTCAATATTTATGAAAATATTTGGTGTTATGAAACCATATATCTAACTAACAGATTTCCTAAACGATATAAAAAAATACTTTATTGGTTCATTAGTCTTCAAACTAAAAGAATGAAAGGAATTTGTAGTTGGCAGGAAAAAAATAAAAAGATAACTATACAATGATTTTTTGTTAACTATAAATACGAATTTGGTTAACAAGGCAAACGTGGTTAAAAAAAACTCACTACTTACTTTCCGCACAACTACTCAAATGTGTTTCGGTCAAGGTGGATCATGCAGCACCGATTTTCAAATTCATTACGTACAAGTGTGTTAAAAAGCTTTGGTACGTGATCATTTTAGCATAAACTCATGGACAATAATCTGTGTATGTCCAGACATATAAAATATCAAAAATAAAAATCTACCAGTACTGAAATTATCAACTTTTGTGACACATTCACTGGGTTTCAATCAGGTATTGGTACTCGTGAAGTACTCCCATATTTAATATGGTTACACAAAAGATTCAACAAAGCTAAGAACAGAATGTATGTATGTGTGTATATATATATATATATATATATATATATATATATATATATATATATATATATATATACAAAAACAAGGAAGTGGGCCAGTCTATTGAGACATACACCGTGGGGCGCATTGCTTCCGCCAAAATTGCAAATGTTGCAAGTTTCCATCATCCCTCTGGAGCCATTCCGAAGGTAAGTATTGAAGTAAGTTCGAAGAGGGGGGGGGGGGAGTTACCATGCATTTTCTTTTGTCTCATCAAATACAATTTGTAACACGAGTAATAAATTTTGTATCTTAAAGAACATAAAGTGTGGGAGAGAGAAATAAGAAGTCTTAAAGACAATGAAAGAGAGCAGAGACAGGACGGAAGAAAGAAAACGGAAATGCGAGAAGGGAGATAATGAGAAGAAAAGGCAGGGGAAGAGGAATGGGGTTGGGGGAAAGGGGAGGGGGGGGCTGATAAAGGGGGAAGGGGGATGGAGCGAGAAGACGAGGAGAGGGGGCCAGGAAAGGGGCGCGAGAGGTAGAGTAAGGATAAGGGGGGAAAGGCGAAGAAAAGAGGAATGAGGAAAGGGGAGAGAGACGAACATAAAATCAGCGACAAAAAGAAGGAAATGAAAGAATTAAAAACTTAGGTGTCGTGTGTAAGCCTAGGTGTACTTGTCTGCGTGAATGTCACACACGATTTCTGAAAAATCACTTCAGAAGGCAAAAAGTCAAACACATGCTGCACATTTTCATTTCCAAAATGAATTTTTCTGAATATTCGAAGACTAATTATCTGTCGTCTGTCAATGACTATGTATAGGAATGCAAATATACAAGTTTGTGAGCTGGCGTGTCAATGTACGTGATTATGTGCGTACCAGTGAGAACTGTAAAGGTGTATAAGAAAGTGGGCGTGCATTATATATA